CTGCTCCAGAGGCAGAGCCCGAGCGCAGGCCCGGGCCAGAGGGGCGAGCGGGGCTGCGGCACTGGCGCCTCGCCTCTTACCTCAGCGGGTGCCACGAGGATGTGGGTGAGGAGGGCCTGCCCACACCCATGGACGCTGACGTCTACGAAGATGACGTGCTGGCTCCTGGGGGCCGGGCGGCCTTCCGTGTCCCTGCCACCTTGCCAGTCAAGGGCCTGTTGCCAGGCCCGGGAAGCGGTGGCGGCGACAGCTCGGAGCGCGAGGGCTCGGAGGAGGCAGGCCTGGTCAAGCAGGACTCGTTCCGCTCACGCCTAAACCCACTCATCCAGCGCAGCTCCAGGCTGCGCTCCTCACTTATCTTCGCGCAGGCTGAAGGCTCTGGAGGCGCCACAGCTGCCACCACTGAGAAGGTGCAGTTGCTGCACAAGGAACAAACGGTCAACGAGACGTTGGGTCCCAGTGGAGAGGCCATGCGCTCCTCCGCCTCTGCTAAAGTGGCCGAGCTGCTGGAGAAATACAAGGGTCCAGCCCGTGACCCAAGCGGCGGGGGAGGTGCGGTCACTGTCTCCAGCCACAGCAAGGCTGTCGTGTCCCAAGCTTGGCGGGAAGAGGTGACCGCACCCGGCGCAGCCGGGGGCGAGCACCGCAGCCTGGAGAGCTGCTTGCTTGACTTGCGTGATTCCTTTGCCCAAAGGCTACACCAGGAGGCGGAGCGGCAGCCGGGAGCCGCCTCCCTCACGGCTGCTCAACTTCTTGACACGCTGGGCCGCAGTGGCACTGACCGCCTGCCCTCGCGCTTCCTCTCTGCCCAGGGCCGCTCCACCTCCCCGCAGGGGCGGGACAGCCCCCCGCCAGAAGTGCCTGCCGCACACCAGGTGCCCCTTTCTGAGCCCAAAGGGAGCCCCACCTCAGCCTACCCAGAGCGGAAGGGGAGCCCCACGCCAGGGTTATCCAATCGGAGAGGCAGCCCAACTACAGGATTTATTGAACAGAAGGACAGCCCCACCTCGACCTACCCAGAACGCAGAGGTAGCCCGGTACCCCCTGTGCCTGAGCGCAGGGGCAGCCCGGTACCCCCTGTGCCTGAGCGCAGGGGCAGTCTCACCCTCGCCTCATCCAGTGAGTCTCCTAAGGTTGGGCCCACAGAGGAGGTGGCTGGAGGCCCCATGGAAGTCCTGCGCAAAGGCTCCCTCCGCCTCAGGCAGCTGCTGAGCCCCAAGAATGAGCGTCGCGGGGAGGATGAGGGCAACTTCCCAGTGCCACAGGAGAATGGGCAGCCAGAGAGTCCCCGGCGACCATCTTTGGGCCGAGGTGATAGTACAGAGGCTACTGCAGGGGATGAGCGGGGCCCAAGGGCGCGGCTATCCTCTGCCACGGCCAATGCCTTATACAGCAGCAACCTACGAGATGACACTAAGGCCATCCTGGAGCAGATCAGCGCCCATGGTCAGAAGCATCGTGGGGTTCCAGGCCCAGGCCCAGGCCCAGCCCACAGCAGCCCCGAGCTGGGCCACTCACCAGCTCCTGGAGGCCTGGCCCCAGACATGTCCGACAAGGACAAATGTTCAGCCATCTTCCGGTCAGACAGTCTGGGTACGCAAGGCCGGCTGAGCCGCACCCTACCTGCCAGCGCAGAGGACCGCGACCGCCTACTGCGCCGCATGGAAAGCATGCGCAAGGAGAAGCGCGTCTACAGCCGCTTTGAGGTCTTCTGTAAAAAGGAAGAGGCTGGTGGTTCTGGGGCAGGGGATGGCCTGGCGGAGGAGGATGCCAGGGACAGCAAGGTGGGCAAGTTCGTGCCCAAGATCCTGGGTACACTCAAGGGCAAGAAGTGAGTGTCCTGGTCCACCAGCCCAGGCCAAGGTGCTTCCTCACTGCCACCCTGCATCTGCTGGGCAGGGAGCTCCGGGTCCCCGTGTTTGAGTGGCAGCCACCATCCCTCATTCCAGAGCAGCCAAGGGGCCGGACTGGACCCACCAGAGCTCAGCTTCAGTGGGTTTCCCTGGCAGCTGCCCTGCCCTGGCCCTGGCCTGTCCTCCCAGGGTTTCAGTCCGCGGCCTGGTGCCTTTTCTCACCAACCCTTGCTCCTCTGCCCCCTCCTCTCCTGCTGCTTCCATTTCCCTGGGCTCAGATCCCCTCTGGACCTTCACTCACCTCAGGGACCCTTCTCTCTGTGCCTCAGTCCTGCTTGCAGGGACCCAACACTTGTGCCTCAGTCTCCCCAGCTCTAGGGGTCTTTTGTCTCCTCAGGGATTCCGTTTTCAGGGCTCTCTTCTCAGACCTGTGGTTCTGATGCCAGCCGCTCCACCCTGCCTCCTCGCCCCTGTCCTTCACTGGCTCCCTCTCTCCTCCTGGTGCCGGTCCTCTTGTGGGGAAGGAAGGACTGCTGCAGACAGTTTGTAAAGGAAGAGTGTGGTTGGACCCAAAGGAAGCTTTTCTTGGGAGGCACAGGGCAGGCCTCTGAGAAGGAGGGATGAAGGGGACCCCAGAGGGGCTGCCCTGCTGCCCAGACTGCAGCTGCCTCAGCCAAGTCTGCCCCTCGCACAGTAAAGTCCTGGGTGGCCAGGGGGAGACACCAGGAGGCGAGTCCTGGGCTCTGCAGCATAATAAAATGGAGTCTGGACTGACACCCTGAAGCCAAGTCTGATTAAGTGGCTCCCAGACAAGTGCCACACCCCAGAAGGGTGGGATGTGGCACACTTGTCCCTGAGCTCTGGCCACCTTCCCCAGGGCAGAGGTCCTGGGAATCCCTGCAAGTGGGGTGACCCTTGCCCTGCAGGTGCCCAGAAGACCCTAGCTCCACCTTGCCCTTGATCCTTTCCTGTTTCATCACCAACATGCAAAATCTGTCAAAGACACTCCTGGTTTACCATTCTTATGTCTTTTTTCGTCTCCGTTAATTTTTTGGGGGAGGAGGGGGTACCAGGGATTGAACCCAGGGGCACTTTAGCACTGAGCTACATCCAGCCCTTTTTAATTTTATTTTGAGACAGGATCTTGCTAAGTTGCTGAGGCTGGCTTTGAGTTCGGGATCCTCCTCCCTCAACCTCTTGAGCCACTGGGATTACAGGCATGTGCCACCAAGCCCAACTCCACTAAATCATTTTAATTGATTGGGAATGACATGTTTTGTCACCAAATGCTTAGAAAGGCCCTGCTAGTGGGGGCTTATGTTGTGAAAGGTGTTTCTGTGTTCTGTTATTTCTTTTCAGATAAATTTTAAATTAAAACAAAACAAATCTAAGTCCCAGTAGGGAAAGGATATGAGAAACTGGACAGTAAGCGAAGGGGATGGTTCTGCCTTAGGCAGCTGGAGGAGGGAGACCCGCGTGACTTGGCAGACCACTCACTGCTTGGGTCCCAGAGCCACTGCTCAGGAAGGATGACCGCAGGGACTTCAGGTCAGGAGGAGGAGGCCTCCTGGGAGCCAGGAGAGCTCAAGCCTTTCATGGCCTTGTGCTTGCTGTCCGGCTTCTGCTGGTGGCCAGGTCTCCTAGTGTGCCACTCTTCAGAGTGGACAGGCTCTCCCCTGAAGGAGAGGAACCGCTGCACTCTCTATATCTTGACAAATTAGACACTGGAACTTGCTGTTGCACATTCTGACATTAACAAAAACAATGCCCCCCCCCCACACACTGCAACCACTAGCCTTAGGGCCTTCCCCTGTGGACCTGCCCCTCCTTCCCTGCCAGGAGCACTCAAGACCACACCTCTGAGTCTCTGCAGAGCCTCTCCACGTCTTCCATCGGCCCTCCCCACCTCACCTGAGCCCTCTAGGCACTCTGGGAGCACTCACCTGGGGTTCCCTGGTCACCAGCCCCAGGGGCCACCCCCCAGCCCTACCTTGCAGCTCCTGTCCTGAGCTATTCCTGCTCTGCTGCCCAGCTCCCTGCCCACAGGACTGCCGCAGCCTGCTCTTCTCCCTTTGGGGCTATGCCCGAGGCTCTGGAAACACCCCTGCCTCCAGCAGCCCACTCAAGCCACCAGCCACTTGGCTCCATGATGGGCCTCCTGTCTGCCTAGGTACAAACCACCCTGTGACTGCAACTCTGAGCCACAAAGAGAAAGTGGTGTCCCTTTCCCGCCCTAAAACCTTGCTGGTGACTGCAGCAAGGTGCAGGTGGTTTGTACCTAGGCAGGTTTCTCTGCTTTCCCAACCTTGCAGCCCAGGCCAGTGTCCCCTGCCCCTGCCCAAGCCTGGTCCTTCCTGCCCGTTTTCCTTCACAGAGCCAGTCACTTCAGATGTGAGCTCTGCCAGCAACACACGGGGAAGTGGCCTTCCTGTGTTCTCCAGCCAGCCCAGGGTCAGGTGGACGTGCAGCACCCAGGACACCCACTGGCCACTTCAGTCTCTTCAGCCCTCACACTGCTGGCCTGGACTCATACCAGGCTCTTTGGCAGTGACTAGAGGAAGTAGCCTTGAGCCCAACAAGACATACCCACCTCCTACCAAGACCTGGACACACAGCAGGGGCCACCGTGTGTGGTGCCCAGGCTGCAGTCACCAGCAAGGTTTTAGGGCGGGAAAGGGACACCACTTTCCCTTTGTGGCTCAGAGTCGCAGTCATAGGGTGGTTTGTACCTAGGCAGACAATGAGTTCACAAATCCCTGAGCCACGGGGCCATCCTGGGGGCAGCCTGGGCCTTGTAGCAGGGTCTGGGCTCTGACGGTGCTCAGAGAGAAAGGCAAGCGGCAGGCACCAGGGCACCTAAGACCATGGGCCAGAAGCTGGTTCCAGGTCACCCTCCCGGCCAGTCTTGGGTGGCCCTGGTCTAGAGGGAAGCCCTGGGTGGGGTGCTCTTGGACGGGAGCTGCAGGGTGACAGAGTACCAGGAGGGGCAGTCCTGGACGTGCGGTGGAGGTTTCAAGATAGGGAGAGTCGGTCCTCGGAAGAAGGTGGGCTCCAAGAAAGGGCTGGGACATGTCCGCTGGGGGTGTGGCCCAGGAAGGAACCCCACACCAGAGTGGGCTGACACAGAGGGCTTTATTCAAAACAGTCATCAGGTTTGGGGAGACCGTGTCTGCTCCCCCAGAGAGGCCCAGGGGAGCTCCCAGAACTCAAATGCAGCCCAGCAAAGGAAGGAGGAAGAGCGCTGTGTTGCGGCAGGGCGGCGAGGCACGTGGGCCCCTCACGCGTCAGGTCCAGGAATCAAGGGCAGGCGGTCCAGCGCTGAGCGGCACACTGTCCCATAAGCCTGGGAGTAGCCCCCAAGCGCAGCCCTGGCAGCTCCCTGCGCCCCCTGCCAGGCTGAGGTGCCAAACATCCTGCGGCCTGGCCGGGGTTCCGGAACCTCCCAGGTGGGCCGGGGTGAGACCTGCACACGGGGAGGGTCATTATCAGACGAAAGGGGCGCGAGTGGGCACACAGGCTTCTGGGAGAGACTGCCAGGCTCACCTGTCGCCCACCAGCTGCCCTCAGCCCACCATTCAGGGGCCAGTCACGGCGGATCAGGGCCTGGTTGGTGGCCTGGGCTGCGGCCTGCAAGGTCAGGGAGGGTGCCATGCCTCTCAAGCTACTGATCTGGGAAGGCGCATGTCACAAGATCACTAAAAGGCACAGTGGGAGGCTCCCGCCATGCCCACACGCCATGACTTACCCCTGGAGGTGTACAGGGGGGCTCTGCCTTAGTCCTAGGGGACCTTTCCCACCTTCCTGGGGGCAGAGGTTGGGGCTGGGGTGCCGAGCTCGGTCTAGGAATGTTCCTGGTCGCACCAGAGGCTTCTGTGGGGTTGGAGATCAACCCCCAGAGTTAGATCCCCTCTGCACCTTGGTGGCCCCACACAGCAGGACCAGGGGTCGTCTTCCACATGGGAGGTGGACAAAGTTCACACACCCTGCTCAGGGTCACCATCAGGGCTACTCTGAGGCCTGGAACCAGGGTTCCTCACAGGCATCCCGGACGCGATCTGGGGGATGGCTCTGTGATGGAACAGGTGTCCCTGAGCCCAGGAGGCCCTGGCCTCTGGCCCCAAGGCCGTGCTCCCCAAGATCCCCTCTCTTGGCCCACGGCTGTGGCCCCTTCTCTCCAGGATCATCTGCGGAAGGGGAGGGTGTTCAGAGGTGCGAGGTGTGGGCATGGGGGAGCACTAGTTGTCCCTGAGTCAGGAGGACTCCAGGGTGCACAGGGAGAGGGGCAGTGGAGGCGGAGGCCCGAGCACCTGGTAGAGGCGGCTGCGATACTCGGAGGCAGAGAGCTGGTCTCTTTCCAGCACCGGGAGCCACACTTCCGTCTCACGTGTCCACTCACGGCTGGGGCCGTGGAACCTTCGGGTCAGAGAAAGGTGAGACCTGGACTGCAGAGCCAGAGCCCAGAGCCCCTCAGGCTCCCCTCCCCCTCAGCGGGGGGCTGGCCCTGGGCCCCAGGGCTGCCTTCCCACCCTCCTACCTGCGCACGTAGGGGTGCTGCAGGGCCTGGGCTGCGCTGAGCCGCTTGCTGGGGGCAAACACCAGAAGTTTCCTGAGGAGGTCCAGGGCGTCTCGGGGGGTGTCTGGTGGCAGGATGTCATCCAGCGACTGCCGTGGCCTGCGGGCAGTTGCCTGTCATCTCTTCTCCAGGGCCCCCCAGGGCCCCCTCCCCAGATCTGTCTGTGCCAGACCTGCAGGCAGTGGGGAGAGACCCCTGCCTCACCTTTCAGTCTCCTCTGCAGGCCTCCCGTGGGGAACCCTTGGGGCTCTCCCCACAGAACCCTCATCTGGCAGAGCTATGGCAATGCTGGGGTCTCCTCACTCTTACCCTGACCCCAACAGGCACAAACGGGCCCTTGTGCCAGGCACAGGAAGCTGGCTTGCTCCTGAGCCAGCCTCCCTGCCCCACAGCTGAGCACCCCACTCACCGGGATCCCAGGAGGTGCAGCAAGGTGCAGCTGTAGCCTGCGCCGAGAGCCCGGAGGTCTGTGGGGGGTGGTGGTGGAAGGAGGTGTGACCAGGTGTGGCTGTGGGGGTGGGACAGCTCAGGGCGTTCTGGGGCCAGCCATCTCTTCTGATGCCAAGGACTGCAGCCTCTTCAGGGCTTCTGACATCTGGTGGGGCTCCACCCCACCAAAAGCTAGGCATGGGCCCCCATGAGCCCCCTCTGAGCTGATGGGTGCCCACAGGTACACCTGCCCTACACCCTCACACCCCAGCCCAGTGACGGCCTCCTGGACCAACCCTTGCGGTCTCTCCCCTGCAGAGCAGAGGTCTGGGAGCAAGCGGGCTCTCCCCTGGGTTCTGGGAGTAATTCCCCTGCCACAGCCTCACCCCTGCCACAGCCTCCCCTCTTCTCTCTGCACCCCCTGCCCTGCTTGGCTCTGTGCCCATGCTGCACCCCATATCCCTCAGCAGGGTGAGGACCTTGCCCCACCTGGCTGGCCCCTTCGCGTGGCCACTCGGTCCTGTGGCCAGTCCTGCCTCCTTCGCCATCTGCAGTCTCCCCGCCCTGGCCCTGGCAGCTGCTTTCCGGGCGCTCCGTTACCCAGGGCCTGCCCTTTCCAGTCCTCCCAGGGCTCCGACTCCGGACCCTCTTCCCTGCACAGTCCTGGCCGGTCGCGCACTGTCTCCCCACAGCCGCACTCTCTGGCCCTCCGCCTCTGGGTGCCCAGTCGGACCCCCCATGCTCACCCTCCTCAGTCGGCGGCGGGACGGTCTCCAGGATCAGCTGCAGCTGATGCACAGTGGAGGTGCCCGGGAACAGGGGCTGCCCCCTCAGCATCTCTCCCAGGACGCAGCCCAGGCTCCACATGTCCACCCCAAGGGTGTACCTGGGCGGGAAGGGGTGTGGGCAAGGGGAGCTCAGAGGCAGAGGTGAAGGTACAGGGGCTTGGAGGTGAGGTGCGGACAAGTAGGTGGGCCCAGGTGTAAGGAGGCCTGGGGGTGCCCATCAGAACAGGAGGGCAGGCAGGGGAACTGGGGGAGAGGGTGGGGTGGGTCCGAGGTATCTCACGGTTACCAGGGCGAGGACAGCAGCACCTCTGGAGCGCGATACCAGCGAGTGGCCACATACTCGGTCAGGGCCCCGCCCTCAGGCCCCTCGGGCAGGTTGCTCAAGGAGCGAGCCAGGCCAAAGTCGCAGAGCTTCACCCGGCAGTTGGCATCCAGCAGCACGTTGGATGGCTGGAGAGACAGGTGGTCTGAGGGCCGAGAGGGCCAGGGGTGCACCCGGGTGGGAGCTGGGGCCGCGTGGTGGCAGCTTGGGCTCAACCTTCTGATCCCGGTGGATGACGTGGCCTGAGTGCAGGAACCTGGTGGCCTGAAGGAGCTGGTAGAAGATGAAGCGCTTGTGGGTGTCCTCCAGCACGCTGCCCTTCCGGATGACAGCATTCAGGTCAGTGTCTGGGGGGGCAGCAAGGATGTGCAGGTCAGTCAGGGCCAGCAGAACTCGCTGTGCCACTTAACCCGGCCTGGTCCTTGGTGCTTCTACGTCCTGCTCACTGTTTGCACAGCGGTAAGGGCTTGAGGAATCATCTCTGCACTTCATTGCATGTTGCCCTGCCTGGTTTTATAAAACGAGTGGAAAATTTTAAAAGTAGCTCCAAACAAAGCAGGACGGTGCGGGGGGTGGGGACAGGAGCTCCCCCCCGGGCTCTGGTGGTTCCTCGGGTTCAGGACACAGAATGTGAGTGCTGGCCACAACAGGGACTTGGGCAGCAGAGGGACACAGGCAGTCCTAGGATCAGGACAGAGTGGGGCAGGAGCTGACCACAGCCTCGCTCACCCATAAACTCAAACACCAAGTAAATGTCCCTGTCGTTCTCTGCCGGGATCACATCCAGGAGGCGGATGATGTTGGGGTGGTCTCCAAACTCCTGTGGAGAGTCATTTCAGGCCAGGGACTTGCGCTGGGAGTGACGGGGCCAGTTCCCCTCTTTTCTGGGAAGAACTGCCCCTGGGTAAGGGAAGTAGGCCCCACAGCCTTGCCACTCACCCGGAGGAGCATGATTTCCCGGAATGTTCTCTGGAAGAGACAGAGATACCCAAAGGGGCTGTTTGTCACCCAAACACCCCCTGCGCCAGAAACACCGGGGCCCCAAACCTTCCGACAGCCCCAGACACCCACAAACCACTCATGCTTCCAGACACCCACAACTCACCTGGGCATCTGTCTTATCTCTAAAGGCATCGAAGATTTTCTTGATGGCCACTACCTCACCAGTCCTCTGGTCCACTGCCTTCCACACAATGCCGTAGGCCTGGGGAGAGGGCTCTCAACTTGCTGGGCCCAGGGCTCGCCCCCCACCACCACCCCTGTCCACCCAGGCTGCCCCCCTCCCACCCTGGACCCTGGGTCAGGGAGAGTTGGACTGCAGGGAGGCCTGGATCCCATGGCTACAGGAGGAACTTCCAGAGGAGGACACTGGGCAATGGGGTCAGGGAGTGGGTGAGAGCTGGAGAGGTGCAGGGGGCAGCACCAGGCCACAGGTGGGCACTCTGGACAAGACCAGAAGCCCCTCCATCTTTGGGAGACTCCCACACCCTATCCAGCCACTCAGCCAGTCCTGGGGACTCCCCTTGAGAACTCACCCTATCTCACCACTTCCTGCCCTCCCTGCTGCCCCTGCCCTGGCCTGTGCCTCCAGGGATCACCACCCTGCCCTCTTACCTAGTCTCCTAGCACTTCTGCCTACCACCCCCAGGTGAATCCTCCAGAGTAGGCAGGTGGGAGTTGTAAAGAGAGTACAAACGACTCCTACAACTCCCAGCTGTGGACAACAGTAAGTCAAAGTCCTGGCTGTTGCCAGAAGCCCTCACGCAACAGGCTCCCTCATGACCCCACAATCCCAGTATCCACCCCCTGTTTCCCTTCCACTCACTCACACACAACTGAGTGGTTTCTCCAACAGCTAAGCAAGTCGTTGCCCCAGGGCCTTTGAACCTGCTGTTTGCACTGTCCAGTCATGTCCCCTTCACATACAGAGCTGCACAAGCTCACACCCACTCACAATGCGAATACACAGGACCCCACAAGCGGTTCCGACTCCCACCCCTTACCCTGGCTCATGCCTTCCTAGCCCTAGCCTTGGCCCTGGCCCTGCGCTTCTGGGCCCTGCCAGGATCCGCCCTTCCACTCAGCGACTGAAGTGCCCTGACCTCCCAGAAGCATCTGCCGTGCACCAGGAGAGGTGACACACCCGGCTCCTCGTGCCTGAGACCGCTCGGGGGCCCATCCATCACCTGCCTCCGGGAAAAAGTCCCTAGCTGGTCACGGCTTCCATGAGGAAACTGAGGCACAAGGGGCTGGGGACCTGCGTCATGACCCCCCTCCAGCCCTCGCACTCACCCCCTTCCCGAGCCGCCGCTCGAGCAGGTATCTCTGGGCTACGTGAGCGTCCACCTCCGCGGCACACATGGCGGCGCCCGGGCCTGCAGGCTCCGCTGACCGTGGGTGCGACCTGTTGACGGGTTGCCCTGGGAACCCGGGGCGGCACCTCCCCGCGCCAGCGCCGGTGGGCGTGGTCTGCAGCCGCACCTGCCCGGGCGCCACACCGCTGTGCCCGGTGCGCGCCGCCCAGGGGAGCCACCTCCGTCCCAGCGGCGCAGCGCCCTCCGGGGTCGCCCCCCCTGCCCCCCCCCCCCCCCCCCCCCGCCCCGGGGCCGGGGGGGTAGCCTCGGGGGCCGCCGGCAGGCGGCGCCCGCCATCCCGGAGCCTTGCGGCCAGGGCGCTCGCCTCACCGCAGCCTCCCCAGTGCGTGCGCGCCTGGGCCCGGCAGGTCCTGGGGAGCGCTGGGAGCCTGGGTGGGAGCCCCGCGGCCGGCCTCCCCCCCGCAATGACTGCGGGAACCACGCTGGAGGGGTGGCAGGCAGCAGGCAGCGGGGGAAGCGCTCCGTCGGGCGGGCGGAGAAGGAGCGGAGCGTCCTGCACACTGAAGGAGTTGCCCGGGAGGGGGCGCAGAGGCGGGAGTGACACCTGGACACGGGAGGGCCAAAGCACGAAGGCTGTTGCTGCGAGAGAGGAATCCACGGTGGGACGCGCGACCCAGCACGGGAATGATGGGCGCACGAGGGTGGTTCCGGCTTCAGGAGACCCTAGATGGGCTGCAGGCCGGGACCCAGGTGTGAGAGAAGCGGGAGTCTGGACTCCTAGGTTCTTGGTGGGTTCTGGAAGGACAGGGCTGGCTGGAGCAGGCGCTGGATGGAGCAGGATTCGCTGGAGACCGGGAATTCGGGCAGTTAAGTTTAAGACGCACCCCGGGCAGCTCAGTGCAGGAGTTCCTGCCTAACCTGGGCAGGCCTTGGGTTTGACAAAGGACACGTTTAAGGTGCTAGTTAGACATCCCAGTGGAAATCTTTGAAAGACATGACTTTGGAGGGACCCAAATTCTGACTGGTACTCAGAGCCAGATTCCCAAACTGTGTAGAGACTAGCTTTTTAGAAAACTTGAAATCTGGGCCCCGTGGTGCACACCTGTAATCCCACTGGCTGGGGAGGCTGAGGCAGGAGGATGGCAAGTTCAAAGTCAGTTTAAGCAACTAAAAAGGGCTGGGGATGGCCCAGTGGTTACGTGTCCCTGGGTTCCATACCTGGGACCCAAAAGAAAGAAAGAAAGAAACTTGAAGTCTGTTGCAGAGAAATAATTCAATAAAATATAGCAAAAATAAGTTGCTAGGAAAAAAATTTAAAAACACAGACATACAAAAATAAGATATATATATATATATTTTTTTTTTAACTAGATTGAACAGTGGTAAAAGTCACCCTGTGCTCCAACTGTAAGAGTTTTTAACTTCCTCTACATTTCTCCCTTGGTTCATTGTAGACCTATCACAAACTCTTACTGGGATGTGCTGGAAACTAGTAAGGAGCAACCAGCGTGGCAGGAGGCAAGCCAGGGCATGCATGGCCACTGGTGGCCAGGTGCAGTCATGTCTGTGAGCTGTGAGAGATTCCACATGTGCCTGCTGGAGTGGTAGCTGCAGGACTGACCTCCTGAAGCATTGCAGAGGGTGGGCAGGGACAGCGTGCTCCCAGCCTGCTCACAGGAGTACAGAAGGCTGCAACTGCTTTGGGAAGCAATTAGGCAGTTTCTGGAAAATTTGAACATAAGTCAGACATGGTGTCTCTGAGGCTGAGGCAGGAGGATGGCAAGCCTGAGCAACTTAGCCAGACCCTGTCTCAAAATTTTCAAAAAGAAGGACTGGGTGTAGCTCAGTGGTAGAGTAAAAATAATAGCAACAGGGGCTGGGGTTGTAGCTCAGGGGTAGAGCACTTGCCTCGCATGTGTGAGACACCACACAAAAAATAAATATTTTTATCTTAAATAAAACAAATGCACATAAAGAAATATAGCCAAAGGCAGAGATCATGAACTTATTTTCAAAAATTAAAATCCAAGAATATACTTTATACAAATTATATATTGCATGAATTATGCACACAGATACATAATTCAATTATATGTTGCAACTAAAAATATTTTTTTAAATATTTATTTTTTTTTAGTTTTAGGTGGACACATTATTTTTATTTTTATGTGGTGCTGAGGATCGAACCCAGTGCCCCATGCAAGCCAGGTGAGTGTGCTATCACTTAAGCCACATCCCCAGCCTAAAAATATTTTAAAAAAAGAAATAATAATATATTATGAAAGCCATAACTTGTAGAATTAAAATGTATGATTCCAGTAGCACAAAATACAAAGGGAGAAATGGAACTATACATTTTTTGAAATATTATTTTAGTTGTAAATGGATACAATATCTTTACTTATTTATTTTTATGTGGTGCTGAGGATCAAACCTGTGCAAGGCAAGGCTCTACCACTGAGCTGTAGCCCCAGCCCAAGGAACCCCACATTTTTATTATTATAAAATAATACACTATTATATATAGTATGGCTCTTAAATTATATGTGAAGTATTATGATATTATTTGAAGATAGACTAGGTTAAAGATGAGATCTTTATCTTAAATAAAACAAATATACATAAAGAGATATAGTTACCAAGACCATAGTCTAGAAAATTAAAAAGTACTCA